ACCTGTACACCACCAGTCATCACAGGATCATTAAAGGACTGCTACTGTACACCACCAGTCAATACACCAGGATCATTAAGACTGTTTACCTGTCACCACCAGTCACTACACCAGGGTCATTAAGGACGTTTAACCTGTAACCACCAGTCACTACACCAGGCATCATTAAGACTGTTACTGTACACCACCAGTCACTACACCAGGATCATTAAGGACTGTTACTCGCTAACCACCAGTCACTCACACCAGGGTATTAAAGGACTGCATTCACTGTACACCACCAGTCTCTACACCAGGGTCATTAAGACTGTTACCTGTACACCACCAGTCACTACACCAGGATCATTTAAGACTGCTACCTGACACCACAGTCACTTCCACCAAGGGTCATTAGACTGTAACTGTACTCCACCAGTCATACACCCAGGATCATAAGACTGCTACCTGTACACCACCAGTCACTACACCAGGATCATTAAGACTGTTACCTGTACACCACCAGTCACTTACACAGGCTCATTAAGACTGCTACCTGTACACACCAGTCACTACACCAGGATCATTAAGACTGTTACCTGTACACACCAAGTCACTAAACCAGGCCTCATTAAGAATGCTCACCTGTACACCACCAGTTAGTCACTACACCAGGATCATTAAGACTGTTACCTGTAACACCACCAGTCACTACACCAGGCATCATTAGACTGCTACATGTTCACACCATTCACTACACAGGATCATTAAGGACTGTTACTCGTACACCACCAGTCACTACACCGGGTCATTAAGACTGCTACCTGTACACTCACCAGTCACTACACCAGGGTCATTAAGACTTTACCTGCTACACCACCAGATCACTACACCAGGGTCATTAAGACTGTTACCTGTACACCACAGTCACTACACCCAGGGGTTCATTAAGACTGCTCCCAGTACAACCACCAGTCACTACACCAGGGTCATGAGGACTGTATACCTGTTACAACCACCAGTCACTACACCAGGGTCATTAAGACTGTTACCTGTACACCCAACAGGTCCACTACACCAGGGTCATTAAGCTGCTACCTGTACACCAACCAGTCACTACACCAGGGTTCATTAAGACTGATACCTGTAACCACCAGTCACTACATCCAGGGTCATTAAGACTGCTACCTGTACACACCAGTCATACACCAGGTCATTAAGACTGGTTACCTGTTTACACCACCAGTCACTACACCAGGATCCATTAAGACTGCTACCTTACACCACCAGTCACTACACCAGGGTCATTAAGGACCTGCTACCTGTACACCACCAGTCACTACACCAAGGCTCATTAAGATGCTACTGCTACAACCACCAGTCACTACACCAGGATCTTAAGGACTGCTACCTGTTTCACCACCAGTCACTACACCTGGGTCATTAAGACTGTTACCTGTACACCACCCATCACTACACCAGGCTCATTACGACTGCTACCTGTACACCACCAGTCACTACCACCAGGATCATTAAGGACTGCTCTGTACACCACCAGTCACTACACCAGGATCATTTAAGACTGTTACCTGTACACCACCAGTCACCTACCACCAGGGTCTATTAAGGGACTGTTACCGTACACCACCAGTCATACACGGATCTTTAAGGATGTACTGTACACCACCAGTCACTACACCAGATCCATTAAGACTGCTACCTGTATACACCACCAGTCACTACACCCAGGGTCATTAAGACTGTTACCTGAAACCACCAGGTCCCTACAACCAGGATCATTAAGACTGCATACCTGTTACACCACCAGTCACTACCCAGGGATCATTAAGACTGCTACCTGTACACCACCAGTCACTACACCAGGATCATATAGGGACTGTTACCTGTACACCACCAGTCACTTTACACCAGGGTCATTAGACTGTTACCTGTACACCACCAGTCACTACACAGGATCATTACAGACTGTTACCTGTACACCACCGTCACTACACCAGGATCATTAAGACTGTTACCTGTACACAACAGTCACTACACCAGGATCATTAAGACTGCTACCTGTTATACCACCAGTCACTACAACCAGGTCATTACGGACTGTTAACTGTACACCACCAGTCACTACACCAGATTCATTAAGTGCTACCACTCCGTGTTACCTGTTACACCACAGTCACTACCACCAGGATCATAAAGGACTGTTACCCTGTACACATCCAGTCACTACACAGAGATCATTAAGACTGGCTACTGCTACACCACCAGTCATACACCAGGATCATTAAGACTTTACCTGTACACCACCAGTCACTACACCAGGATACATTAAGACTGTACCTGTTACAACACAGTCACTACACCAGGATCAGTAAGACAGCTTACCTGTACACCTCCAGTCACTACACCAGGATCATTAGATGCTACCTGTTCACCACCAGTCACGACACAGGATCATTAAGACTGCTACCTGGTACACCACCAGTCACTACACCAGGATCATTAGGACGCTTACCATGTACAACCACCAGTCACTACACCAGGATCCATTAAGACTGTTACCTGACACCACCTGTCACTACCCTGGGTCATTAAGACTGTTACCTTTACACCACCAGTCACTACACCAGGATCATTAAGACGGCTACCTTTTACACTCACCAGTCACTACACCAGGGTCATTAAGACTGTTACCTTGTACACCACCAGTCACTTACACCAGGGTCATTAAAGACTGTAACCTCCGTACACCACCAGTCACTTTTACACCAGGGTCTATTAAGAACTGTTACCTGCATACACCACCAGTCACTACACCAGGGTCATTAAGACTGTTACCTGTACACCACCAGTCATACACCAGGGTCATTAAGCTGTTACTGTACACACAGTCACTTACACCAGGATCGTTAAGACTGTTACCTGTACACCACCAGTCACTACACAGGATCATTAAGACTGTTACCTGTACACCACCAGTCACTACACCAGGATCATTAAGGACTGTTACCTGCACACCACCAGTCACTACACAGGTCATTAAGCTGCTACCTGAACACCACCAGATCACCTACACAGGGTCATTAAGGACTGATACCTGTACACCACCAGTCACTACACCCAGGATCATTAAAGGACTGCTACCTGTACACCACCAGTCAACTTCACAGGGTCATTAAGACTGTTACTGCACACACCAGTCACTACCCAGGATCAATAAGACTGTTACCTGCACACCTCCAGTCACTACACCAGGATCATTAAGGGACTGTTACCTGTACACACCAGTCACTACACCAAGGTTCTTTAAGACTGTTACCTGTACACCACCAGTCACGACCCAGGGGTCATTAAGACTGTACTGTTACAACCACCAGTCCACTACACCAGGGTCATTAAGACTGTTACCTGTACACCACCAGTCACTACACAAGGGTCATTAGACTGTTACCTGACACCACCAGTCACTACAAAGGATCGTTAAGACTGTTACCTGTACACCACAGTCACTACACCAGGATCATTAAGACTGTTAACCTGTACACCACCAGTCACTACACCAGGGTCATTAAGACTGTTACCTGTACACCACCAGTCAGTCACTACACCAGGATCATTAAGACTGCTACCTGCACACCACCACGTCACTACCCTGGTCATTAAGACTGTACCTGCACACCACCAGTCACTCACCAGGTCATTAAGTACTTGCTACCTGCCACCACCGTCCACTACAACCAGGTCATTAAGACGTTACTGTACACCACCAGTCAATACACCAGGTATTAAGACTGCACCTGGCACACCACAGTCACTACACAGGTTCATTAAGACTGCTACCTGCACACCACCAGTCACTACACTGGTCATTAAGCACCTGTTACCTGCACACCACCAGTTTTCACTACAACAGGATCATTAAGACGCTACCTGCACACACCATTAACTACACCAGGGTCATTAAGACTGTTACCTTGCACACCACCGTTCATACACCAGGGTCATTAAGACTGTTACTGTACACCACCAGTCACTACACCAGGATATTAAGAACGGCTACCTGCACACCACCAGGTCAATACACAGGATCATAAGACTGTTACCTGTACACCACCAGGGTCACTTACACCAGGATCTTAAGACTGCTTTACCTGTTTACCACCCAGTCACTACACCAGGGTCATTAAGACTGCTACATGTACACCACCTGTCATACACCAGGGTCATTAAGACTGTTACTGTACACCACCAGTCACTACACCAGGATCATAGACAGCTACCTGTACACCACCAGTCACTACACCAGGGTCATTAAGACTGTTACCTGCACACCACCCAGTCACTACACAGGATATTAAGTCTGTCTACCTGCCAAACCAGTCACTACACCGGATCATTAAGGATGTTACCTGTACACCACCAGTCACTTCACCAGGATCATTAAGGACTGTTCCTGTACACCACCCAGTCACTACCAAAGGGTCATTAAGGACTGTTACTGTACACCACCAGTCACTACACCAGGATCATTAAGACTGTTACTGGACCACCACCAGTCACTACACAGGATCATTTGACTGTTAATGTTCACACAGTCACTACACCAGGATCATTAAGACTGTTACCTGTACACCACCAGTCACTACACCAGGATCATTAAGACTGTTACCTGTACACCACCAGTCACTACACCAGGATCATTAAGACTGTTACCTGTACACACCAGTCACTACACCAGATCATTAAGGACTGTTACCTGTTACACCACAGCACTACACCAGGGTCATTAAGACTGTTACCTGTACACCACCAGTCACTACACCAGGATCATTAAGACTGTGCAGTAACCAGACATTATCCTTTAACACCTAAGAGTTAATATCTTGGAATATATACCACTCAGGTGGTATATATATTCCAGATGGTTCATGTTGGTGAAGATCATGTATGTAAGAAAGGTACCATCTGTGTAAGTGAACCCCAGATAGAGTGCCAGCTGTGTATTGAACCCTTAACAAGAGAGATCATTGGTATTAACTCACTTGTAGAAGGTCATGGGTACTCTGAGCCTTGGCCAGTATTTTGGTCTTGGTGTCCAGTAGAACAATGTTATTAGCGCCGATACCAAGCAGTCTGGAGGTCTGTGGGAGACAGTTATTGTAAATACCAGCTTTACAATATTCTCTTAACAATCACTGATACCAGTCTTACAATACACTCTTAACAATCACTGATACAGTTTTACAATACTCTCTTAACAATCACTGATACCAGTCTTACAATACTCTCTTAACAATCACTGATACCAGTCTTACAATACTCTCTTAACAATCACTGTACCAGTCTTACAATACTCTCTTAACAATCACTGATACCAGTCTTACAATACACTCTTAACAATCACTGACACCAGTCTTACAATACTCTCTTAACAATCACTGATACCAGTCTTACAATACTCTCTTAACAATCACTGATACCAGTCTTACAATACTCTCTTAACAATCACTGATACCAGTCTTACAATACACTCTTAACAATCACTGACACCAGTCTTACAATACTAACTTAACAATCACTGATACCAGTCTTACAATACTAACTTAACAATCAATGATTACCAGTCTTACAATATACTCTTAAAACAATCACTGACACCAGTCTTTACAATTCTCTCTTACAATCACTGATACCAGGCTTTACAATCTAACTTAAACAATCATGATACCAGTCTTACAATATTTCTTAACAATCACTAATACCAGTCTTACAATACTCTCTTAACAATCACTGATACCAGTCTTACAATACTCTCTTAACAATCACTGACACCAGTCTTACAATACTCTCTTAACAATCACTGATACCAGTCTTACAATACTAACTTAACAATCACCGATACCAGTCTTACAATATTCTCTTAACAATCACTGATACCCGTCTTAAATTACAACTTACAATCATGATTCCAGGTCTTACAATATACTCTTAACAATCACTGATACCAGTCTTACAATACTAACTTAACAATCACTAATACCAGTCTTACAATACTCTCTTAACAATCACTGATACCAGTCTTACAATACTAACTTAACAATCACTAATACCAGTCTTACCAATACTCTTTTACAATCACTGATTCCAGTCTTACAATACTAACTTAACAATTCACTGATACCTGTCGTACAATATCTCTTTAACAACACTGATACAGTCTTTACAATACTAACTTAACAATCACTAATACCATGTCTTACAAAAAAATACCTCTTACAATCACTGATACCAGGTCTTACTTATAACTTAACAATTCACTAATACCAGTCTTACAATACTCTCTTAACAATCACTGATACCAGTCTTACAATACTAACTTAACAATCACTAATACCAGTCTTACAATACTCTCTTAACAATCACTGATACCAGTCTTACAATACTAACTTAACAATCACTAATACCAGTCTTACAATACTCTCTTAACAATCACTAATACCAGTCTTACAATACTCACAACATGAGGGACTGATTACCTTGCTATTATTACTACTGCTTCCACTACTACCACTATTAGTAAGTTTATTCAGGTTTACACAATACAGTGACATAGAGATCTACACAGCAACATATTTCAGGTATACACAATACAGTTGACATAGATTTCCTACACAGCAACTATTCAGGTATACACAAATACAGTGACATAGATTATCATACACAGCAACATATTCAGGTATACACAAATACAGTGACATAGATTATCATACACAGCAACATATTCAGGTATACACAAATACAGTGACATAGATTATCATACACAGCAACATATTCAGGTATACACAAGTTACAGTAAAAGAAGATTATCATACACAAGAACATATTCAGGTTACACAAAATACAGTAACACGATTATCATACAACAGCAACATATTCATGGAATACACAAATACAGTAGTACACAGATTATCATACACAGCGTATATGTGTAGTCAACCAGCCAGGATAACCCACAACAAGTCAAAGGTTCTTATTTCCACTGGCGTCCTAAACCACTACTACTGCTATTATTTCTAGTATGAATACTCCTGATACTAGTAGTACTATTTCCACTGCTGGTACTACTGTTACCATGGCTACAATTACTACTACAACTCCTACTACTACAAATATCTCAACTACTATTATTACTGCTACAGATACTACTATTAGTACTACTGTTAGTACGAATACTTCTACTAATTACTACTCTGCATACCACTTACAACAACTAATACTACTACTTAATACCACTACTACTACTCTACACCACCACTACTCCTACTACTTACTACCTACTACCAACTACTACTACTACTACTACTACCAACTATATACTTCTACTACCACACCACCACTACTACTACTATATACTACTATACTGTACTACCACTACTACTACCACCACCACTACTCCTACTACTACTACCACTACTACTACTACTACCACCACTACTACTACTACTACTACCACTACTACTACTACTACCACCAGCACCACTACTCCTACTACTACTACTACTACTACTACCACCACTACTACTGTTACTACTAACCTTCTTCTTGGTCTTGCCTCTGAGTAGTTCCTTAACATGGTGTAGGTTACAAGCGAAGGATGGCAGTCGTCTCACAGTCTGGATATAGAGTTTCTTAAGAGCCACCTCAGAGTCATAGAGCGGAGTGTGGAATAACTTTCTCTTCTGCTCCTGTAGAGTCAATCACAAGAGTTAGTTCAAACATCCTTGAAGAAATAGCTCTCACAGAAACTGAAATTTATTGAGTCTGTAAAAAATAGCTCTCACAGAAACTGAAATTTACTGAGTCTGTAAAAAATAGCTCTCACAGAAACTGAAATTTACTGAGTGTGGAAAAAATAGCTCTCACAGAAACTGAAATTTACTGAGTGTGGAAAAAATAGCTCTCACAGAAACTGAAATTTACTAAGTGTGGAAAAAATAGCTCTCACAGAAACTGAAATTTACTGAGTCTGTAAAAAATAGCTCTCACAGAAACTGACGTAACACTTTTTTACCCGCTATGGGGAGTGAATAAGAGAAGTAAACAATGCTTAAAGAACAGCTCTCACCGAAACTGAGACTGTGTGAGACACATCTGAGTGAGAGATGAAAGACTGATAAAGTTAAAAGACAACCCTGATGTCCCTCTCCCGCTGAGGAGCTCTTGATCCAAGGAAACAGACCTTCATAACTCGTACAGCTTTACCACTTCTGATAAAACATCAATTATTATTACTCTTATTATTATAAATATAACGAAAAACGAAATGTTACAATAAACGTTAAAATTAACGTTTTTGATAAACGTACAGAGGATAACGATTGAGAAGTAAAAAGAAAATAGAAAATAAAAGGATATAAAGAGAGAGAGAGCAGAGAGACAGAGAGAGAAAGATACAGAGAGAGAGAGAGGGAGAGACAGAGAGACAGGGACAGAGACAGAGACGACCAGAGAGACAGAGAGGACAGAGACAGAGAGAGAGGTAGGAGAGAGAGACAGAGAGAGACAGACAGAGAGCAGACAGAGACAGAGAGAGGACAGAGAGACAGAGAGAGAGAGAGACAGAGACAGAGTGACAGAGAGAAGTCTTCTAATACTGTAGCAAACACTCTTAATTTATCACCTTAATTACTTAATGACATGGGCACATTACGAAGTGATCTTAGTGGAGGAGGAAGAAGAGGTGAAGGAGGAAGAGGTGGAGGAAGAGGAGGAAGAAGAGGTGAAGGAGGAAGAGGTGGAGAATGAGGAAGAAGAAGAGGTTGAAGGAGGAAGAGGTGGAGGAAGAGGAGGAAGAAGAGGTGAAGGAGGAAGAGGTGGAGGAAGAGGAGGAAGAAGAGGTGAAGGGAAGAGGTGGAGGAAAGAGGAGAAGAAGAGGTGAAGGAGGAAGAGGTGGAGGAAGAGGAGGGAAGAAGAGGTGAGAGGAGGAAGAGGTGGAGGAAGAGGAGGAAGAAGAGGAAGAGGAATAAATAGTGGAATAAATAATAATGATAATAATAATAATATTTTTGCTATATCTTTGATGAATTTCGAGTCTTACTACTCCTGGAGCCCGGTCACGGGCCAGGCTCGTCTGGTGCTAGCCTGATCAACCAGGCTGCTGCTGCTGGTGCTCCGCTGGCCCACATATCCATCACAGCCTGGTTGATCTGGTACCTAGTGAAGAGACTTGTCCAGTTTCCTCTTGAAGACTTGTACACTTGTTCCAGCAGTGTTTCTGACGTCTTGAAGACTTCTACACTTGTTCCAGCAGTGTTTCTGATGTCTTGAAGACTTGTACACTTGTTCCAGCAGTGTTTCTGACGTCTTGAAGACTTCTACACTTGTTCCAGCAGTGTTTCTGATATCTTTGAAGACTTGTTACAACTTGTTCCAGCATGTTTCTGACGTCTTGAAGACTTGTACACTTGTTCAGCAGTGTTTCTGGGACGTCTGAAGACTTCTACACTTGTTCCAGCAGTGTTCTGACGTCTTGTAGACTTGTTACACTTGTTCCAGCAGTGTTTCTGACGTCTTGAAGATTCTTCACTTGTTCCAGCAGTTTTCTGACGTCTTGGAAGACTTCTACACTTGTTTCCAGCGTGTTTCTGACGTCTTGAAGACTTCTACACTTGTTCCAGCAGTGTTTCTGATGTCTTGAAGACTTGTACACTTGTTCCAGCAGTGTTTCTGACGTCTTGAAGACTTGTACACTTGTTCCAGCAGTGTTTCTGACGTCTTGAAAGACTTCTACACTTTGTTCAGCAGTGTTTCTTAGTCTTGAGACTTGTACACTTGTTTCCAGCAGTTGTTTCTGACGTCTTGAAAAAGACTTGTAACTTGTTCCAGCAGTGTTTTGACGTCCTCTTGAAGACTTGTTTCACTTGTTCAGCAGAGTTTCTGACGTTCTTGAAGTCTTGTACACTTGTTACAGCTGTGTTCTGATGTCTTGAAGACCTGGTTCACTTGTTCCCAGCAGTGTTTTTCTGATATTTGAAGACTTTGTACAACTTTGTTCCAGCAGTGTTTCTGACGTCTTGAAGACTTGTTACAATAGTTCCAGCAGTGGTTTAGACGTCTTGAGACTTGCACACTTGGTTCCAGCAGTGTTTCTGATGTCTTGTAGACTTGTTACACTTGTTTCCAGCGTGTTTCTGATGTCTTGAAAAAGACTTGTACACTTGTTCCAGCTGTGTTTATGATGTCTTGAAGACTTGTACCACTTGTTCCAGCAGTGGTTTCTGGACGTCTTGAAGACTTGTACACTTGTTCCAGCAGTGTTTCTGACTCTTGAAGACTTGATTACACTTGTTCCAGCTGTGTTTCTGACGTCTTTGAAGACTTGTACACTTGTTCCAGCTTGTGTTTTCTGATGTCTTGAAGACTTGATACCTGTTCCAGCAGTATTTCTCTGATATCTTTGAAGACTTGTAACTTGTTCAGCAGTGTTTCTGACGTCTTGAAGACTTGTACAACTTGTTCCAGCAGTGTTTCGACGTCTTGAGACTTGTAAACTTGTTCCAGCAGTTGGCTTTCTGATGTTTGAAGACTAGTACATTGGTTCCAGCTGTGTTTCTGACGTCTTGAAGACTTCTACACTTGTTCGCAGGTTTCTGACGTCTTGAAGACTTGTACACTTGTTCCAGCAGTGTTTCTGACGTCTTGAAGAATTGTACACTTGTTCCGCAGTGTTTTCTGACGTCTTGATGACTTGTTACATTGTTCCAGCAGTGTTCTGACGTCTTGAAAGATTGTACACTTGTTCCAGCAGTGTTTCTGACGTCTTGGAAGACTTCTACCACTTGTTCCGCAGTTGTTTCTGCGTCTTGAAAGATTGTACACTGTTCAGCAGTGGTTTCTGATATCTTGAAGACTTGTACACTTGTTCCAGCAGTGTTTCTGACGTCTTGAAGACTTGTACACTTGTTCCAGCAGTGTTTCTGACGTCTTGAAGCCTTGTACACTGTGTTCCAGCTGTGTTTTTGACGTCTTGAAGACTTGTTCACTTGTTCCAGCAGTATTTCTGACGTCTTGAAGACTTGTACACTTGTTCCAGCAGTGTTTCTGACGTCTTGAAGACTTCTACACTTGTTCCAGCAGTGTTTCTGACGTCTTGAAGACTTGTACACTTGTTCCAGCAGTGTTTCTGATGTCTTGAAGACTTGCTACCACTTGTATCCAGCTGTGTTTCTGATGTCTTGAAACCTTTGTACACTTGTTCAGCAGTGATTTCTGACGTCTTGAAGACTTGTACACTTGTTTCCAGCGTTGGTTTCTGAGTCTTGAAGACTTCTAACTTGTTCCAGCAGTGTTTCTGACGTCTTGAAGGGGGACCCCTTGTACATTTGTTCCAGCAGTGTTTCTGACGTTTGAAGACTTTGTACACTTGTTCCAGCAGTGTTTCTGATGTCTTGAAGACTTGTACACTTGTTCCAGCAGTGTTTCTGATGTCTTGAAGACTTGTACACTTGTTCCAGCAGTGTTTCTGACGTCTTGAAGACTTGTACACTTGTTCCAGCAGTGTTTCTGACGTCTTGAAGACTTGTACACTTGTTCCCAGGCGTGCAGCACCTTTCAAGGGCAGGTGAATGAAATTGCCGACCTAGAGAAAAATGTACAGAGAACTTTCGGCGCGCATAACGGAGATTAAAACACTCAATATTGGGAGCGCTTGAGGTTCCTAAACCTGTTTTCCTGGAACGCAGTGAGGGAGAAGCTACATGATTATATACTCCTGGAAATCCTAGTGGGACTCAGTACCGAACTTGCCACACGATAAACACCCACTACGAAAGCAAAAGACTTGGCAGACAGATCCACCATCCCCCCAATGAAAAGCTGGGGTCGTCACTAGACGTTAAAGAGACCATACAATAAGTGTTCAGGGCCCGAGACTGTTCAACTGCCTCCCAGCACACATTATGGAGGGATTTCCAACAGACCCCTGGCAGTCTTTAAGCTGGCACTCGACAAGCACCTAAATGTCAGTTCGGGATCAGCGGCTGTGCTCGTTGTTTGAGTTTGCGTGCAGCCAGCAGCAAACAGCCTGGTTGATCTGGCTCTGATCCACCAGGAAGGCCTGGTCTCAGACCGGGCCCGCCGGGCGTTGACCCCCGGAACTCTCTCCAGGTAAACTCCAGGTAAACACCAGGATCATTAAGACTGCTACCTGTAAACCACAGTCAATACACCAGGATCATTAAGACTGTTACCTGTTACACCACCAGTCACTACACCAGGATCATTTAAGACTGTTAACGTACACCAACAGTTTACTACACCAGGGGTCATTATAGACTGTTACTGTACACCCAGTCACTACACCAGGATCATTAAGACTGTACCTGTACACCACCAGTCACTACACCAGGATCATTAAGACTGCTACCTGTACACTACCAGTCACTACACCAGGATCATTATGACTGTTACCTGTACACACAGGTCAACTACAACCAGCGATCATTATGACTGTTACCTGTACTCCACCGTCACTACCCAGGGTATTTTACAGGACTTTTACCTGTACACCACCAGTCACTTACACAGGATCATTAAGACTGCTACTGTACACCACCAGTCACTACACCAGGATCATTAAGACTGCTACCTGTTACACACAGTCACATACATCCAGGATCATTAAGACTGTTACTGTACACCACCAGTCATACACCAGGATCATTAAGACTGTTACCATTGATACCCA